TGCTACCATCCTAACCACGGTGGCTGATTGATTTTATTTACTGGAACATATGTCAGATTAACAGGAATGTTAATTAAAGCAAATCTCCTCTGTAGCCTCTCCAGGGTTTTTCTAATCATGTACCTGTTGAAGCAGAAAATTATAGCTATCAGAATATGCTTCATATTTATATTATTAAATTATAATTAATATTAAATTTAATTTAAAGATCTCATTGCATATAATATAAATTCTGCAGGAAAGTACTTAATATTCAAAAGCACTTTACCCAGAGTACATGGGGTAAAGGAAAAAAAGAGTGTACCTGAAATATACAGCAAAATTTCACAGAATGAACATGACAGGGTCATTTAATAATACTTTTTTTAACATAGGTACAGCTTGATTCGGGGTGTGATGCTGACCACTCACCCCCATCTAGTGCTGACATCAAGAACAACTAGGAGCTATACCTCCTCTCCCAAGTGCCTATATGGCATATAGCGGGGCAGCCTTACTTACAGCTTGATTAAGACAACAGTAAGATACACATTTCTCCCCTTGTTTATATATTTGGCCACAAAAATCAGGAAACAAAGTAGCAAGAAATTGAATCACTAAAAACACTGCATGATAAAAATGTAACTTTTGTCAAGTTTTTGTTTTCAGAATACTTTTTTTCCTTAATAAATAATGGCAGAAACCTAAATCAAAACTAAAACTGTGATAACAAGAAAACAGTGGCCCTGTTGTTGAGTTTGCTTTTACAGCAGAGTACAAAAAAAAAATGAAATTCCACATGGCCATGTTGCAAATGGAGTCATTTGATAGGACAATTATAAAATCCATGGAATTCCCTCCTACAGTATGCTGTAAACATACCCATTTTTTCCCAAAAGAAATCCAGCTGGAATATGAACTTCTCGAAATGTATTGTCATCGACCATTTCTATGTAAAATTCATCACTTTCGGGATCTTGATTTGTAACTATTATTGCTCGTGCTCCAACTTCCTCTGCTTTTACAGTTTTACTCAAGAATGAACACTCCCTAAAACACAAAGAAACTTATATTTTTTTAAAGCCATTTATAACACATTACAGTTTTACTTATATTAATTATCCACATATTTTATGCCATAATTTCTTTCTTAAAACCCTGAATCCTTTACCAAACACTAAAATTAATAGCAACCAACATGGAATGGAAGACCCATCAAACATTTCTTTTTCCACTTGGTGTCCTTTACCTACACACATCACATTAACATCAGCCCTTTGGGTTTTATACTTTAATGTTAATAGAATGAATTCAATGAGCCACCAATGAATAGAATAAATCACTCTATCCACTTGTATGTCCGTCTGTCTGTCTGTCTCTACATGTGAAACAACAAAAATTTGATTAAATTTGATTTTGGAGAATGTTAAAAAAACAGTTTTGGGCCATTTAAATCTTCACTTAGATGGGGCAATTATAATTACTTTTTAGGTTATTTCATCGAGCAGGTCTGCACAACTTTAAAGTACATGTGGGACAAAATGTAAATTACAGAAGTGCTTTGGGCCGCAGTCTCATGTTTCCTGTATGATAATTACATTAGTTAAAAGTATGTGAATATTATGCATTATGTATAAATAAATACATTGATGTGTGATATTATTGTGTTAATTAAATTTAAATACCATTGCATTATTTTACTATTTCAATATGTAAGAGTGTGAATTTGTTAACTAACAAGTTGTTAAGTAAAAACTTTATGACAGGTCTGGTAACTTCCAAGAATGTAGGTAAGAAAATAAGAACATCAGATTTTATTATAATTGATTAATTTTGAAAGATGATTTTTCAGGGGCCCAGGCACAGTTCAGCTGATTGCCCCTGTGCCAGAGAAAATCTTTCCAGGGCCCGCATGTCATGCAGGCCTGATATAGAGAAATTTTTATCATCAGTATCCTAGCAACTCACTGTTATAGAATGAAGACTTCTAATCTTCTATTTTTCTCTGAATTATTAAACAGAGTCATTCTGCTTACAATGCAGTACACAGAAATAATTAAATCTGCTTTACTTTGCACCTCACTGCTCTACAATTATTGTAATCCTACTATTAAATCTTTTAAGAAAAACCCACTTCTTGAAAACATCTAGGTAGGTACTGTGGCATGGAGTCAGGGGTCACTGTCTGAAGAAAAATGTAGCCAATTTTTTTTATATACATTTACTTTCTGCTTCTGGTACACATTTTCCTTTGTAAATGCCGTGTGACTGTCATTTTTCCCCCCTCCAACAGTAAAGTTCTACCAAAGGTGGCTTTGCACATTGTGGTATTTTCTATAATCATAGCCTCTGCATGTAACAAATAATTATACTCCTAATTATTAAAATTTAACCCATGTGCTTACCCCCGTTCAACCAGAGCCACACTCCCTTCTAGTTCCTTTGCATTGTTTGGCCATCCACATCCATATGGAGGTTCCACAGGTACAAGAGGAATTCCATATGCAGAAAATGATTTGTTCTACAAGTACAGGTACACAGAAAATCAAACATAGGACAAAGATTTAATTCCTGACAGACCCAGGTTCAGCCAACTTCTAAAAGAAAATGCATTTGCTTTTGTTAAAGCAGAAAAGAACAGTTCACTGGATAATGCTGACCTCACGATGTAAAACTGAAGTCATTCCAATCTTGTAATAAATTCTTATCATAGTAATATTTGTTACTTCTGAGATTTCAAATTAATTGTAAACTTACAAATGGTGCACCAAAATCTTTAGCAGGCCTGATTCTGTAGGTATATTGCAGCTCTTCTGGTTCTATGATTTCAAAGAATACATCTACTCCAATGATATCAGTACTTGAAACACCATCATATGTATACAAATTGTTAGCTGAAAAGCAAGACATAACTGCATGTTATCAATATTCCTTTATTATTTGATTATTCACCTGGTTTATAATTTATTCTTCAATTGACCACCATTCACTGTTGTATATATACTTCATAACTTTCCTTATAATTATATTTTTAATGGTTAAACAGATTATAATTTTCATTATAAGGCTGCATCAATTAGTGGATATGTCATGAATCAGTATCTGACTAATATGGATTCTACGCCATTCTTGTATCAACTACTTCCTGATCTATAATTGTAGTGGTATAATACCACATGGTGGGACAAATTCTACCTATACTCTGGAATAACTATGGATCAGACATAAACAAACTGTGCAAGTGGTGATGAAATATTTGCCTTTTACTAGCTGGTCTTTGTACATTTCATACATATAATGCATATGAAAAGGACACGAGTCCAGATTATTTTACAAATGTTTATCCCAATATAAAGATATATCAGACATTCCATATTCCTTCAGTCAAGTTCTTTTGGAGACACTAATAGTTAATATTTAATTTTACACTCGCACAACAGAGTAAAGTTATATGTATGAAGTGAATCTTTCACAGCAGCTGAAGTTGATGAAATACTCTCAGGCAGAAGATTTGTTCAACCAGAGCCACACTCCCTTCTAGTTCCTTTGCATTGTTTGGCCATCCACATCCATATGGAGGTTCCACAGGTACAAGAGGAATTCCATATGCAGAAAATGATTTGTTCTACAAGTACAGGTACACAGAAAATCAAACATAGGACAAAGATTTAATTCCTGACAGACCCAGGTTCAGCCAACTTCTAAAAGAAAATGCATTTGCTTTTGTTAAAGCAGAAAAGAACAGTTCACTGGATAATGCTGACCTCACGATGTAAAACTGAAGTCATTCCAATCTTGTAATAAATTCTTATCATAGTAATATTTGTTACTTCTGAGATTTCAAATTAATTGTAAACTTACAAATGGTGCACCAAAATCTTTAGCAGGCCTGATTCTGTAGGTATATTGCAGCTCTTCTGGTTCTATGATTTCAAAGAATACATCTACTCCAATGATATCAGTACTTGAAACACCATCATATGTATACAAATTGTTAGCTGAAAAGCAAGACATAACTGCATGTTATCAATATTCCTTTATTATTTGATTATTCACCTGGTTTATAATTTATTCTTCAATTGACCACCATTCACTGTTGTATATATACTTCATAACTTTCCTTATAATTATATTTTTAATGGTTAAACAGATTATAATTTTCATTATAAGGCTGCATCAATTAGTGGATATGTCATGAATCAGTATCTGACTAATATGGATTCTACGCCATTCTTGTATCAACTACTTCCTGATCTATAATTGTAGTGGTATAATACCACATGGTGGGACAAATTCTACCTATACTCTGGAATAACTATGGATCAGACATAAACAAACTGTGCAAGTGGTGATGAAATATTTGCCTTTTACTAGCTGGTCTTTGTACATTTCATACATATAATGCATATGAAAAGGACACGAGTCCAGATTATTTTACAAATGTTTATCCCAATATAAAGATATATCAGACATTCCATATTCCTTCAGTCAAGTTCTTTTGGAGACACTAATAGTTAATATTTAATTTTACACTCGCACAACAGAGTAAAGTTATATGTATGAAGTGTATCTTTCACAGCAGCTGAAGTTGATGAAATACTCTCAGGCAGAAGATTTGTTTGTTCACCATTCAGCCACCTGATGCAGCTTGTAGCCAGAGAGTATTTCATCAATTAAAAATATATGCTTAACCAACAAATTACTTTTATGCAGAAAAGTAACAAGAGATGCACATTCAAGCACTTAAATGGGTATTAAACCTTTATCAGAGCAGTATTCCACACCTGGTGTGCTGCAAATGATATGGAAGGAAACAGTCATGGCCTAATTTAAGGAATTATCCCAGCATTTGCCTGGAAGGACTGAGGAAAACTACGAAAACCCCAAGTCAGATTAGCCGGTCTCCGGGCCGAGATTTGAACCCGGGACCTCCCGAATATGAAGCAGGAGTGTTAACCACTCCACGACGTTCGGTGAACGGCAATGTGATCTTGCCTTGATCTGCCGGTTTGCGTACAAACTAATGTTTCAGTCCATCGTGTTTACAATAATCAAGACATGCATTTAGATGAACGAAATCAAGATTCACAAAGCAAATACAATGATGTATCTGCTTATCTGAAGTTGACAATAATTACTTCAACTAACCTACAGTATTCACCATTGGCACAAAGTGTTGAAACAGAAAAACTCCAAGCACCAACATATTCACATTGAATCCCATGATGACAGCTATTATTCTTGTACATGTACTCATTTCAGCCAAACAAAAATAACATTTCGAGTAGAATATTTGCTTTAAATCGTTTTACTGAGAAGGAACTCGACTAACGACTACAATCCAACCTATCATTGGTCATCTCTGATGTAATCTGTGCTATCTGCGCTGATGTGTTTCTGCTGTTAAAGGTAATCACGTAGCCAACAAACTACTTTGTGCAAACTTTCACGCCTCGTTTCGGATGTAGTAACAGAAAGCATTCAATTTAAGAGTTATTTCAAGTCGATATGCTTCGTTGCATTAAACAAATTATTCCTTAATTCCGCCACCGCTGGAATCGACTTTCTTGTAGATCGATTGTTTCATGTGTTTCGAGATTGTTTTTGTTGACCAATGAGAAAGGGGGGTAGAGTTCAGATCAAGCCCCTGTTGGATAGTATAATTCTCCGGAGGGTATACTTTTCTACCCCTAAAGCAACCAATTGGACAAAAACCTATGTTGGTAATCTGTGACTAGAACCAATACCGTTTCAGTGTTATATTTCAACATGGCGTGAGGTAGAACTGTCATACCAATGTGCTTGCTGGCAAAAACAGAAAATGTAACTTATGTTGTGTGATCTTTTTAAAATTATTGTTTCTGAAAGTTCTTCATGTTAAACATGGGCCGGTCTGAGACGATCCGCGCTTGTGTGGTATATATCGTGTCAGGTATTGATGCAACCGAAATTTAAACAGGTTCACAAATTTGTGAGCTTTTAGTTTAGAAGTGTATTGCACATGTATTTATTGCTGTTAAATTAATTACGTGTTTTTGTTGTTAATGCTTTTATGCCTTGTGTAGGTGGATTGTGACCTATGACTATGAATGTTGTTTAAGAGACACGATGAAGCATGTAAGAAAAGAGAAAGAACTGTTATGGACGGTGTTGGCCCTGCTTCTTTATGTTCAAGAAATTGATTTATTAGAACAGACAGTTAATTGTCCACCACAGTGTGTATGCACCAAGGTTCGATCGCGACCTACTGTGGTCTTCAAGTTGAAGTGTGGAGGTGGAGATAGGAAAGTTTCTTCAATTGAGGAATTAAATCTGCAAGACTTTCCATTGGATATATTTTATTTGTGAGTGGGAAGTTCATTTACAGTTACTAGACACAATGTAAAGTATTCTAAGGTGCCCAGCCCACATGTCCTGGTACAAAATATGGGTTTTATTTAAGTTGCTATCCCATTATGTTTTAACTACTCTGTATAGTCGCCTTGTTTTAGTAAATAATTTCCAATTAAACTTGTTTCAATAGCATTTTAATTTTCTTTGTTGTTTTTTGGGAAGACATCTTGAACTCATTTGAGATTCAGGTATTGACTCTAAAAACAGTTGGTGAAACTTGTGAATGTAACATGAGTTCTTCCAGTATAACATTAACTTTACTGATTGTCAGTAACCCACTATTAAATGCCTTCTTGTGTCTCTAGAACCATCTGCATGTGTTGATAAACTAAAACATGTGACAGCACTATGCATAATTTGATGAAAATGCAGGATCAGATTCTACAGTTGTAAAGCTGATTCCTCAACATAAAAACATATTTTAATTTACCAAACAACTTATGTGAGAACTGAAGTCAATGAGAATTTATACCGTACTTTCCTCCTGAGGCTTAAGCTTTCATGGAGTCCATAAATTGTTGATGTATTGCATCGTTGACTCCCATTTTTGTCTGTTGTCTAAGAGGTGCAGAATATTTTATAATAATGCTATGTTGTTCTCCAGTACTTTAATCTATATTTGGAATATGCTCGCTTAGGTTTATCATGGTTTACCTGAGTTCTTTAAGCATATCCTGTGATAGTACTTTAAAATAGGTGATGGTCACTTGCACATATATTTGTAATCATTCTACCATGTCTCATTTAACACTGTAATCACAGTAGTTTATACATGGCCATAAAATAATTAAAGAAACAAACAAGACAGGGAAACAATCTTGCACATTCATTATTCTCTTTGCCAATTACACAAAAAACTCTGTCAAACAGATACTCAGTAATTGTGTGAGAGTCTGCTGAAAAAGATTCAACACTGATTGTTTCATATTAACTTGTTTCATTTTCATTCCTTTAATATTTCTCCCTTTTTTCAGGGACCTTTATGACAATAACATCATGCATTTGCCTCGGGATGCCTTCTCATATCTGCCAATGTTACAAAAACTGTGAGTAGAATTATACTGTATACACATAACTTGTGACATTCAGAATAACTGACTGATAGAATGTGAATTTTTGTAATGACTGTCATTATTGTGGATGCTTGATGCCTTTAGTGAAACTTTGGAATATCCATTCCCTATGTTGCTCATTATTTTTTTACTGCCTTGCTGAAAGAATGTAATTTTTAGGAAAAATGTGAACTCATTGTGAGGGTTAGGTTATTACATATACAGGAAGTTCCAAAAATGTTTCACTGTATGGTAATGCAGACATTTGACTAACATCAAATGTTAGCAGCATAAGAGTTCAACAATACAGAGATGTGGTATGTAACTTCTAAATACATAGTTACTTTCATATTTAATCCTTATCACTTCACTTTTTGTTGAGTACTTAACTTAAAAATTTCTAGTTTAGTGAGTAATAGAAAGGGATGGGTGGCCAAGTGCTGGCTGGACACATCACTTGGATGGAAACTAAAACTAATGTATTAAGAATTTTAGTGAAAAATATTTTGAGAAGCGACTCTCAGAAAAGCCAGTGTTAATGTAGGAATATAAATTTTCAATGCTTCTGAAGAAAATTCAAATGCCCCTACATCATTAGCAGTCTAGGTCTTTTGTATGTCTTTGTCATCCCATCAACAGCCTGAGACATCAGTCTGTTGATTTGGACCATATGATGGTCACCGTGGAAAAACAAATTTGCCATAGTGTTGAAACCTAAGTTAATTCTAACATGTGAAGTGTCATTTTACTCCTCCAGTCCCTTATTGCCCACCTGACAGCTTCATTAGAGATGCCACAGGCAGGCTACAGTCCTAAGAAAGGTATTTTACACCCCTCTTTGCTGATATCAGCCAGTTCATTGCCTACCCCACATTCTAGCACCCATGTTAGTTGTTGACTGTGTGATTGCATATAAATACTCATCTCGAGACTGTGCCAGGGAAATTTTCCATTATTAGGTGTTCATCTTATGATGTGAAAAAAGAATGCCATAAGAGTCCATCTTTGTGTGTGTGTCTGTCTGTCTGTTGTGGTTTTCCTGTTGGGGGTAGGCAACCTGGATTTCCTATCATATGCCGCAGGAGTGAATATAATCACATAAGGTCCTGGCAGTTTAAATGGTTTAAAGGTATTGATGATCCATCTTAATTTTGGTTGATTTGTGGTCTTTTACTACAGGGAATCCTATTTTTCCTTAGACTGGGCAGCTAGAAAATGTTCTCATGACAAGGATGCAGTGAGTTTGATTTAAGTGGGAAGGGGTGGGTAGAGTTTGTACTTAGATGATTTTTTTCTGGTCCAATGGCAGTAATTTTGGTTATTTTCTCTTTGTGAGAAGTAGGGGATTGCATATGATTGAAGTAAGGTAATTATAGGCAGTATTTCTAGTAATATATGATGCATAGCTTTCGTGTTCCATGTGAATGTGAATGAATATAAAAAAGATTATTTATGTATTAAATAAATAAATGATGGCTGTACATGAAGGCATGTTTAATTTTATTTGTGAGGGAAGGGAAGAGTTACATTAGACATTAGATGTGAAAGTGAATCAGTGTCTTTTGTGTATCTGTTCTTAATTTTATGATCAAAATATTTCAGTATCATGTAGAAAAGTAATTAATTACATTCTCTTTTGCAGGAATTTAAGCAGAAGTCATATCCATACAATTGATAATGAGGCATTTTCAAATTTAACAACTCTGAAAAGATTGTAAGTGGTTAACAAGTTAATGAAGTGTATGTTAGTTGCCGTTTACAAATTTGAATTGGAAATGTACTTTTAAAATGTATGTTACAGGGATTTATATGGCAACAGGTTGAAGATTATTAATGCACTCACATTTGTGGGACTGGAGAGTTTAGAGAAACTGTAAGTGCTGATTTTCGTTGGTTGTATTTACCGTGGTCGTAGATATCCTGGTCACCTAGGTGTAAGATGCTGGCTTTCCATGCAGGTGTTGAATATGAGACTGGCTGGGGCCTGTATAGATATTTTTGTAAATTTCCTTTAAATAAAAGATTTTTAGGTATACCAAGCCCCATTATGGATGTGATTCCACAATAAGTGATAGGTCAGTTCTTACACCCATTACTTTTATCTTCAGTATCATAAGTGGTAAATGGAAATCTCACCTCTTCGGTGCTTGTGTCTAAAATATGGTTTCCTACTTTGTTATGCCTGATCGGCAGAGGCCAAGACGATCAAGGACCACAAGTGGGAGAGTAATTCAGGATGACATATTGTAATTATCATATACACATATTGCAGAGGAGTACTAAGCTATGAATACTTGGCTCAGAATACACGGACAAAGTTTGGTAGTTAATTCTTTTGCAACAGCTTTATTTGTTGAAAAATCTTTAGCTGTTACAGGATCACATTATGCTCAGAATAAAAACAGTTTTGATTAAAACTTAACAGTTGCCTTTTGGTATAGGTTTACCTCTTAAAAAATGACTGCAGCTTTTAAGGCCAGTAGAAAAGTTTTGTAAAATTGTTCCATACGTAGGTGGAATGCCAGTGTTAAGGAGATCCTAGATTCAAATTTGTTTTCTTTCAGGGTGTTAAGCCTGAATTCTATTGGTAGGATACAAGATGGAACATTTGATGAACTGGTCTCTTTGAAGCAGCTGTAAGTACATGCATTATGATTGTTTTATCAAATACATTAGTCAGATATGTTTTTATGTCATCTGCTGTTATGGATGGAATAGTTTTTTGAAACTGTTGAAAGGTTGTCATTGAAATATGTAAACACGTTCTGCAATTTGGAGTGTATCTTTCTACTCTTGATAACATATCTTAACTTTTTATCTAGGGATCTGTCAGGCAACCCTCTGATATGTGATTGTGAGCTTGGATGGCTGCTGGAATGGGCTCGAAATGTGTCTGTAAAATTAATTTCATCACCAAAATGTGGAGGACCTCCCGCTTTAAGAGGACAGCCCATCCGCAAGCTGCAACTAGATACAGACTTCCATTGCAATTGGACTTTGGCTGGATCAGGCAGTGGAACACTGTTGGAACTGGAACCTGCTCACAGTCAGGTATGAAAATGGATGATTTACGGTTATGAGACTTGTTTCTGTTGTGCCTATTTGTGGACTTACAGCCTTCTGTTTTCTGCTCACAGTACAAGGCTGAAAGAGTTTATAGAGTGGGATACACTTTCTCAGTGACTGTCTGCACAGTAGACGTGTAATTTAATTTAGCTTTGAACAATTGTAGGGAATGTGGTATTTCCACATTTACAGAGTTCTTACTTTGTTAGAAGTAAGAGATTGGGAAAACATGAACTTAAATTAATACTGAATGTGGGCATTCTGAAACCAATGCTTCATAAGTCCCAGCATCCTGCTCACTTCACCCTGAAGGTGGAGGTGATACATTCCTCTGGAACATTGATAACCACCTACAAGAGTACATGACATCAGAACCCAGAAGACCACAATTGACATTGAACCTGTAATTTCACTCTACTTGTAGGCTACCAAACCCTATCACTTAAAGCTTAAAGGGGTATGCACAAACACGGTTATCATACAAGCCTACTTTTTACTTCATAAAAGGAAAGTAGACTAGAAATTTAAGTAAACTTGCATGAAAAGATGTCTTGATTTCTTTTCCTGATCAGGTTGTGTTTGCCGGTGATTCTCTGAAACTGCGATGTCGAGCTCCAACTGCTGGGACTATGGTAGGTGAGAGGAGTATTGCTAATGTAGTTTGGATGTGGGGTGGTCAGGATCCAGCTGAAGTATTTGAAGAAATTCGTGTTAAAAACCGTTACATTGCAGACAGCGGTTTAGTTGAAAGGTATGTTATACTCTCAATAGGCTTGCATTGTTACTTAAGAATGCACACTTTATGTAACACATTTTTACATTGAGCAGTAATGCAGTTTATTGCAGCATTATCTTTGAAAATTACATAGAAAGTAAAGAAGTTTATATAATGTCTTTATGAACCAAATTAAATATAACAAACATCTACATGGTGACAAGCCAGTTTCCTACCAAATGCACCAACACAAAACCAACTGTTTGACTCCAGACTCTGGCCAAATGCACACTGCCAGTCCTGACCATAATTGCCTTATTTGCATTTCTTGCTACCAGAATTGCCACCATCAGAACTTAATTTCAGTTCTTAATCACACAAACAGCTTACATGTTGATAATTTAACCTGTATTAGCTCAATGTGTCCATGAACTTTGTGTCTGAGAGACATTTATTGCTGTGTGGTGGTACTCTGAATTGTGAAGATTTCTGTCTTCTGGGTTATTGCGCTGTGTAGTCTGGTCGATGTTAACCAACGTTTCAGAGGTCATACTGCCTCCGTCATCAGGGCGATGAATATTCATCGCCCTGATGACGGAGGCAGTATGACCTCTGAAACGTTGGTTAACATCGACCAGACTACACAGCGCAATAACCCAGAAGACAGAAATCTTCATATTCACCGCTGTGAGAACCTCAAGTCTTACACTCTGAATTGTGTTTGTGTCAGTGAAATGCCTCAGTTTAATTGGGCCATAAACATCAACATGTGAAATGTATGTCTTGGTATGATAAGGCGTGACTGCAAATGATGCAATAGGTGTGATATTTCTGCATCGGCCTGCTTGGCAACATAATAATAGGAACTATCATTGGGGATTCTTACAGTTTATGGCATTGTTACTTTATGGAAGCTGGAAACATTCTTCTGGTAAGCACATTATTACGTGATTACAATATTTCTTGAGTCTGGTGGTTGAACCTGTAATGACTGATGTTACGACAAAGCATGTGACACTGACAGCTGATACTGTGCTTTTTAAATGCAAGTTTTGGCAAATATGTTTGGATATGTTTGCTTGTTTAATCAGATACTGTGTCGCCTGGCTAGTGAAAGGGACTTAATTGTTGAGAGAGTTTGTTTTGTGCTATTGAAAAGTGTTCAATACTAATTTTAGCAATGAAATGTAAGTGCTTAGACTAGAATACAGTGATTGAAATAATATGTCTATGTAAATTCAGTGGCTCACCAAAGAGCGAATTAGGAAGACAGTATATCTATACTGTATTTGACATTTTTCATTAATTCGAAGAACAGTCAGCTTTTCTGTATGATAGAAGTCCAGTTATTTAAGTCATGGCATTTAGAACCAACCTGTAACATAGCTTATGTAAGTTTAATGCAGCAAATTATGGGTTTAATGTGTGTGACTAGCAGGTGCACATGAAATAGTGAATGCATATTTTCTTGTACAGAGTGGATCCTAATATGTGTTTGGTTGGAGTACAAAAGGGTTATTTAAATATGAAGTAACCTTCACCTTCACAGTTCATATTGTGCTCAGTATTCTCACATATGTAATGTTTATTTAAAATTTTTAGCTCACTTAGCATCCAGCACCTTCAGCACGACCACAGTGGAAAATGGAATTGTAGACTTGTGTCAGAAGAAGGAAACCAAACACAAGCTATTTCAGTGATTGTTATCTCTGAAGACACTCGTTATTGCCCGCAGACAGGTAGTAGACTGTCATTTATGTAAATGTGAAATTTGTCTGATTTTTATTGGGTTATGTTTCCTAGAATATGTTCATTTTCATATACATTCTGAAGTAATGAGTATTGAAACAGTCGTGCATTACTTTTTTATTTTATGGCCTAAACACAGTAATAAATCCACACTGAAAAATTATCTTTTAAACCCAAAGTCACTTATTATAAATACTAGTTCTATTCTGACAAGCGACTGCATCTTTAACAATTCAAAACTCGTAATTTTTTGTATATCTTTTATTCTTGTCTGCAGTATATGAGCAAATTAACTCCATGGTAGCTTGAGTAGTTGATAGTTATTTTCTGGTTAACAGCTGTTTGATTCATCACTGTTTTCAAAATCCTTCCATTGAACATTGTCCTGAATTGCTTCAATCCAGTCCAAATATTCACACCCTATTTCTAGTATCCATTTTAATATTATCATCCGATCTGTATTTAGGTCTAGTAAGTGTGTGTCTTCCCTTGTTATTTTGTTTTCTCCATGCATGGTAGAAGTCCTGAAGATATCAGCCTTCTTGATTTCAGAAGAGGGACAAAGCAGATAAATGTTGTTTTCCTTTTCTTTTGGACAGTGACCTCAAATAACAAGGGTGTGTACACGTGGCCAAAGACAGTTGTAGGGTACACAGTTGAGCTTCAGTGTGAGGGAGAACAACTGAGTGGTATTGGATTTAGACCACCTTTCAGGGCTCGATATACCTGTGCAGAATCTGGAATTTGGGAGCAGCTTAATACAACTATATGCCCTTACGTGAGTGAGACCACCAAGATTCTGGAGCAGTTTTCCAAGGTCTGTTGTTGTATCATTATTCTGTAACTGTGTTTTAATATTTACTGGTTTACCATATTGGAAATAACGTCTTGATTTGTTGTGTCTGAGATATGCAACATTCTAAATTTATTCTCTTTAAATAAAGCTCCCCTGTCACTATTGAAGGCATTCTGTGTTTATCTAAATACCATGCTCATCTTTTATCTGAAATTGTTGCATAAAAACACTGGATGTGTGTAATATTCAAGGATTCAATCTGGGTGGCACAAAGAGCTACATGTGGGAAAATACAAAATGCAGTAATAGAATTTGCACCAATGTTGGTGTGAGCTGTATTGGCAATTGGGTGAAGTAAGAGGCTTGACCTTTAAACTTTTACTTTTCTTGCAGCAGCAAGAAAGAAACGGGGGTGTATTGTCAGTTCTCAGTTACTGCAAGGCAATTTCTTGCTGTATGGTGTATAACATTCTCAGTTCTATTATTTCTTCATTTGCAAAAGGTTTTTGTGATGAGATTTCAGATTTTCATGGCAGCATGTTGACATTTGTGTTCTGGGATTCTGTGCTGTGTTGTCTGGTAGAAGTGATAGATTTTGCAGAGGTATTTACTGCCTCCATCATTAGGGTGATGACTTGTATAGGGTGCGCGAGAAGTGCTGGCACTTGCGCAAAGAACTGATTTTGGTCATATGAGATGCACCCTTCCGAAGAACGCGCTAGAGGGGTGTCAGCTTCAGTTGGTTTGTAGCTCTAGCTGTGTTTAGATCGGTGCGTCATCACAGCTGAGGCTGTGCGACCCCCCACTACTACTGAACTCCCCTCTCTCGGCTTACACATAGCACATTTAGGTGCCACCACTAATCGCGCGACCTATACCAGACTACATGGCACATCCCAGAACACAGTAATGTTTAGGTTTACATTGCTTAAGGGTCATCCATAATTATTTTGTCCACATCAATTTTCTTGGTGTCTGAACTTGTCATATTTTATGGGATGGTAAAGCAGGTATTCACTAGTAAAAAAACATTTTGAGCATTGTTTCTGTTATATTTGAATACTACTTGTACTGTGCTTACAGCAGAGAAATATTATTTTTGACAGTTGTGTGGAGCAGAGGATGTTGTACTGAACCTTTCCCTTTCCTTTCTTCTGTAAGGTGCTAAGATTAATGATACAGACAAATTCAGCTGCTGGAAATGAATGAATGCAACTGTCCATGTGAAACTGAAGATTGTAAGAGAAGCAGAGCAAATAGGAAATTGTGGCATGGCCAGTGAAATAGGTGAAAGTTGCATCTGCTACAAAATAGCATTCACTGGCTGTCTTTTTGTAAGCAGAAAGCAAAATTTGTAGTGGTAGAAGAAAGGTTTTCTGCATACTTCAATGAGGGGCACCAATTTTATTATGCAGTGTCCATGAAATGTGCAAGTTGAAGGCATTAGAAATTTTGAAAAGCAACTGGCTTCTAGGGCTTCAGTGCAAGCAATGTTGGTTACAGAAATTTTTGAATAAGACAGTTTCTGTGCAATGCATTTGAAGAAGAAATGTTAGCACTGTGTGACACATGTTGGGTAGATAATTTCAGACAATGATAGTAACAATAAACCATATTTCTTTATTATGGTTAATTTATTGTGACCACTTGATGTACCTGAGAAGACTTCACTGAATTTAGTCACTGTAAAAGTTAGAGATCATACTATGTTGTCTTGTTATATAAAGTTTCCGAAGTTATGTTAAAACAAATTCCTTTGCCACCTGTGTTTTCTGTGTACTTTATATTTAAATTCTAATTTTCTGTATTTGCCATAGGTAAATCTAAGCGTAGCAAAAGGCAGTGTGTTGGAGAGTGCAAAACGATTAAAAAACTTCACTAGCAATGACAAACAACTTCAAGATAAAATGGATGTGGTGTTCATCTCTAAAACTATTGAAAATTACCTGGAATATGTTACAAAAGAGAGAGAGGTAATTATAACATCACATGTCTGATGACGTATATAATATTTATGTGTATATAGTTAAATATCAGATAGAATTTGTATCATTGTTATATGGTAGAATATTTCCTACTTTTAATTTTTCATCAGAATTTGTGTAGTATTTTTATAGTCCTGGATCAAGGGATATTGAACAGTGGGATTTAATATTAATAGTGTTGAATCTTCGGGCTCTGTAATGAGAGTTAGCTGGAAACAAGTATATTTGGGGTTGTGGCACTCCTGCCTAGCCAATGGGATGTTAAAAGTTATCAGTGACAGGTGTAATGAGATGAATTATGTGGTGAAGTTGTGATTTGTTTATATTGTCATAGTTGGGTTCGCACCTTGTGGATGTTGTAAGTACACTTATGCACCTGCCAAAAGAATTGCTGACTGCCGCACAAGAAGAGGATCATGCATGCACTCGCTTAGTAAGGGCTGTGGAGCTGATAGCAGAGTTCACTCCTTCACTGCACAAGGTGGGGGTCCAGTCCAATGCACATCATGTAGCATTTTACTGTTAGTTACTAACTGATGTTTTATGATAATCATATGAATTTAGAAGTGGCACGCTTTGATGATGTAGGACATTTAGAAGGAACTTATTATGCAGCAGGAAGGGGTATTTAAATATTCAGATGTCTTAAATGCAGACTTCAATAAAACCATTATAAAATCAAGTGAATATGGAATTTCACAGTTCAGCATGACCCTTAGGGTAGTATAATGTTGTATCTAATAATGATGTGGAAAACCCTGAGATAGCAGCTCGAAATATTTGGCTCAGAAAAGTCTGATAAGTTGTCACTCCAAGTGGTGATGTGAAGCACTTTTAGAAACATAAAGTACAGGTATAATATAATTGTTGAGCCAGATACCTCCACTCACATACCAAGGGCAAGATTTTGTCACTTATGACCATTACTTATATACTAATAAAGTAAACTAATAATGGCTTGAAAGAAAAACAAATATACCAGGAGCAAAAGCAGACATCCTTATCTATTAAACCACGTTGTTACATTCTGAGTAGCAATATTCATTGACTGTTGCTTAAAATTTTAAAAATTCTGGAAGTATGACAATAAAATACGTTAAAAATTCTAAAATTTATTACGTTTCAGAGGCTGGCTTTGTCTCTGTCTTCAGCTAAGTAGGTGCCTACAATGGTGCCCATTGGATAACGCTAACCTTTGTCAGCGGGATATTAAATTTTATGGTTTTATCAGAAATACTGAACCCTTTCATATTCTGTAATCTTGCAATACAGAGCAGAAAATACAATCTCTATGTTACTGTTGACAATTTGATGTGCAGAGTTTTAATGTCATCTGTTTGAAAGTGCATTGATCCAAATCAGATAGCACCATATAAATCTGTAAAGAAGAAAAGAAAGCAAAATGTGATATGAGTTATGTGCGTAACCAGTTTGTAAGGGTGAAGATGGAATATATGATACATACATTATCCATAAGATCATAAATCCTGTAATAACATTACTGTGGCAACAGTCTTAATAATTTGTGGATAACGGACACAATAATCATAAACGATAATCATGTTAATATAAGATTATATGCCCTTGTTCTCAGACTCTTGGTGTATAACGTTTCTGATCTACTTTACTACTAAGAGAAATTTATTGCAGTCAAACCTGGCTGTAGAGGAGTACCGTGTGAACAGAGAGAGATTCAGTGGTCTCTCATGCACGTGGTATACGCACTCAGGAAAAAATGCTGGTCATCTGTTCCACTGTTCTACCAGCAATACATCAGCTTTACTTGGGTCTAAGGTATATAATTTTGCATAAGCTTTAATATTTAATAATTTTTTTAATGGCATTTAAGACAGTAACGGTGAGGCAGCAGAACATGGAACAGCTATCTTCATGGTGATGAAATATTTGTGTGTTGTACAGTTGCTACATAAATAACTGTCTGGTTATAATATGAAGGTTCAGTTCTGGAAATTTGTATCGGACTCATGCCTGAGCCATTGTACTGATTATTTTATGTTTCTAAGGCTGGTGTTCTAGGTGAGTATCTCCCTTTGGAGTAGTGGTAGCAGACCTATGAAGTACTTTCTTCAAATATTGATTGAGACACCAATTATCCTGCCTGAGGTGTTTTATGGAATAACCATCTGACGAAAATATATAGATAAATAATATGTTACACATATTGAGGTTTTTGGAGCAATGGAAGATCTCCCTTGGATAAGATATCAGCCCAGTAGGATTTGAGATTTTCATGGCAGTGAATCTAAAGATGGCTGTCTTCTGGATTGTTGTGCTGTGTAGTCTGGTAGAAGTTTACTGACTTTTCAGAGGTCCTCGCTCCCCTCGTGGTGGAGGCAACGAGGACCTCTGAAATGTTGGTAAACTTCTACCAGTTAAGCCCAATTATAATTATGTATAGTTTCCTATGGTGGTATTGGAGTAATATTTTATATTTTCATTGAAAGTTTACAGTGTAGATGAAATATTTTTTTATTGTCTGTTTCTTTCTGTATAGTTCTGGCTGTTGTGCATATATATTTTTCAGTTATATAATATTATGTCATTTATTTAATAATCATGCTCACTGTTGTCTTTTTAGGTCATAGAAGCTTCTATCCATGTACCAGCGTCTTTGTTTTACCAACTTGAGGTGCAAGGATACTCTTTTAACTCTGAACAGCAGCTGTTGGTATCCATGTATGAGAACAACAAATTGTTTCCACGAATCCACCCAGACTCATCCCAACAAGATGGTAGAGATATTACATCATGCGTCATTGGCACAAAATTAGGTGAGAATCATGTTTGTAACTGTAATAGCATTCTAAACAGCTTGTTGACTATATCAGGATTACAGATATTTATATGTGTTACAGCTTTGTTTATTGTTCTTATGTAATGGCAGTGGTGGATATATATAGTTCCAAAGCTTCTTTTTAAGGGTTAACACTATGCTGAATTGCCCAAGTGGAATACCACCTGATTTCAGTGTTGTTTGTTATTCAGTTATGTACACCTCTGCTGGATATTATTCATTGTTAGAGATACTTTGATGAGTGCAAGATTTCGCTAGTTTTGTCTACACTCTTCATGTAACTGCTCTGTAATTTTTGTTGTTACTGTCATCATCATCACTGGTTATGGTTATGATTGAACCTGCAACCCCTCAATTAGGACACAGGATCTGTTGAGAATCCCTCCTGACTTTTTTTGTGGGGTTACCTGAAGAATGTAGTTTACAGCACGAAGCTAACAATGTTCATTTTGAACACCTACACTAGATTCACTAATTCACTAAGTGCCAATGCTGACATATGTAATGGTTTAGTTTATTAACATTTATTGAACATGTATATATCTTTCTGGGACACTGGATAACAGAATCCATTCAAAAATGACAACAGTCTGTCTTCTTTCTGACAATCTGTATTTTTTTTATTTATATGTAATGTACATGAATATTCATCAAAGATGTAAGTTTTCAGTGGCAGATGTGTTAGTGAACATATATATACATCATGTGTGGGTGGTAATCTTAATGACTTCAGAAATTAGTGAGCAAGGTATCTAATACGAGTAAATTTGTGTTTCATAGTGGGGATGGAGGTTCAGAATTTAACACATCCTGTGTATGTAATGCTGAGAGCCCCATTGCTTTACCACTCATCTGGCTCGCCCAAACCTGTGTGGTGGGATGCATCCCTAAACAATGGTACAGGTGGCTGGAGTCAAACAGGATGTCAGTTGTCTCATCTCTTACATGGTCTGTTGGTATTCCAATGCAACAGATTTGGCTACTTTGGTCTCTTACAGAAAGATGTCTTTCTCTATGACTACATGGGAAGGTGAGTATCCATTAGCCACTATTTAATTATATTAATTTCCATGTACCAGTATTTGTCTCAATGCAGAACATTCAACAGTGGTCAATGTGACATTAGAAAATAATCGTTCAAAACTATTTGAATTTGTCTGTGTATATGTTTAATTTTTCATGTTAGTGTTACAAATGTGTAGGGATTTTCACGCTGCTTAAAAACTACAGTAAAGTCTCAATGTCACATAACATTACTTTCTTTTTAGGGTGGCTGGAGCCAAATTTAGATTTTCACATCCTGCAGTTTATGTTGGCAGCGCAATTGGAGTTATAAGCTTGATGGTGGCCATTGTAACATATGTAATCTGTCATGCTTCTATTCAGATGTCAAAGAAAACAAAACACTCGCTGGTCAACACTTGGATTGCAGTTGCTCTCCTTTGTTTTATGTACAGGTAATGTATGACCTATCCCGCTTCATGTTGATGAATGGCTTAACTAAATATAACCACAAATATACACAGCAACTACAATTAAACTGATAGAACTCAGCTCTTTTTTGTACATGAAACTAATGAATGGAAAAACTTAAAGTTATGACTAACTAACTACCTACATGGCTTACCGAACCCGAAGATTTATCACCGAATTAACCAAAGCCCTCCACCGGACCCTGTCCTGGGCCAACAAAATCCAGTTTCCTTCAACTCCTATCTCCCATAGATCCCGCCTGACATTATCCTCCCATCTAAGTCTAGGTCTCCCCAGCGGTCTCTTCCCCTCGGGCTTCCCAACCAATACCCGGTGCACACCTCTTGTCCCATCCATGCGTGCTATATGCCCTGCCCATCTCATTCTTCTCAACTTAATCACCCTGACGATACTGGGGGAGGAGTATAGATTTTTAAGCTCACCATTATGCAGTTTTCTCCATGCCCCATCATCTTCTCTCCTAGGCCCAAATATTCTCCTCAACACCCTATTCTCAAACATCTGCAATCTGTGTCCCTCCCTCTGAGTGAGAGACCATGTTTCGCACCCATACAAAACAACAAGCAAAATTATTGTTTTGTATACTTTAATTTTCAGGTTCTTTGAAATCAGATGGGAAGACAAGTAGCAAGCATTTCCAGAATTTAGTCTCCTCCTATATTATCATGTAGAATTTAAAAAAAGATATGCATGTTCAGTGTACATCATGCATTGAAGTTCTATATCATTAAAGTTTGAAAAACATCTATATGAATAATGAGATGAAATGTGGTAACTGGCATGGAATGTGGACATAACAGAGTTAGCTGCAGTGAGATTGTAGTTAAACACGTAATTAAAGTATTTAATTACCATTATTTTGTTAGATTGGATTAGTAACATTTGTTATGTGTTTTCAGTTTGGGTATCCATCAAACAGAAGATGTGAAAATATGTCAAGGAGTTGGATTGCTCCTGCATTATTTAACATTATCATCTTTATTATGGATGGCTGTTACAGCCAGGTGAGTTGTGTGATTAAACACATTATATGAATTAATGTTTTTTATGTGCTTGTCTGAAAATGTTGGATATTTCAGAACGTCATGTTGAATTTATGTGCCTTGAAAGTTTTAAGTCTTACGGTGTCATAAAAACCACTCTGCTTTATCTGTGTTCATATTTGCACAAGGCAGGGCACTTTATTGTGAGGAGGTTTTGATGGGGGTGCTTTTTTGTCTTTTGTGGTGATGGCTGGAAGTCTCATGTGTCTTTCAGGTGCTACGTCAACTAAGCATGTATGCATGTGGAAATAAGACCTTCTTTACACCGAACCAAACATTTCCCATGTTCCCCACCAGTGTCAGGGTGTGCAGATGTGGGAACAAGAGATCCATTAGTGATTTAGATATGGGCGGTTTTCTGCTGCTACCAAGACTGATCAAATTTGCAAGTGGAAATGTTAAAAATAAATTTACCAATGCATGCTGACAAGCTTTCAAGCACCGGTGAGCCCAGTACCCTGATCACTTGCATTGAGGAGCACAGGTGCAGATTATTGTGGCAATGATTACAATTTTCTAGGAATACTTTGACCTCTCTCTCTCTCACTCTTCTTCTTTTTTTTTCTTTTCTTTTTTTCTTTTGTATATTGACTACTGACTGACTCAGCACAGGAGTCGAAGACGAAGACAGTTTTTAGAATGTTGGATATTTTTCTCCGTATCAACACAGCTAATTGCCTGAGAAGACAATTGCTTTTAGTTGCTCTAAAAACTTCACTTTTCTCTATAGCTTTTGTTTAAAAACTTTTATAGTTATATCAGTGATCTTCTGGGTTGTTCTGCCGCGTAGTATTTTTACTGTATGCTATGTGTGAAATGTGGTTTTAATTTTTCAGCAATGTGTACAAGAGGCTGAACAAATCAGATTCGTTAGACTCTGCTCCTGAAGATGAACTTCCTCCTGACCAGCCAGTGGCTCAGAAACCTCTCCTCGGTCTATATCTGGTGGGCTGGGGCATTGCTCTTATTGTGTGTGGCATATCAGGTGCAGTGAACATGAGGGACTATGCAGGCTATTCGCATTGCTTTCTTATGCCAGGTCCTGCTCTCAGTGCAGTGTTTGTCCCCATGGGAGTGTTAGTCTTATTCCTCATGGTCTTCTTTCTCCTCATATATTGTGGTATTCAGAACCTAGACACCAATGGACAGCTTTCTGAAGGTACCCAAGTGACAGAAAATGTAGATTTGGATTTGTTGGATTCCAACATTATGACCACAGCAACAATAGAGCACGCAAGTATGCGCAGTGCATCAACTCCAACAGCATCTAGTGATGTTGAAGATATGGAACATTCACCACTGAGCCAATTGAAAGCTCACGTCATTGTCCTGCTTTTGTACCTCTTGATGTGGATCTCTGCTGCATTTGCAACTGCCAGGCCATTTCAGAATTATCTCTCGTATGAGGAGATTATTTTTAGCGTTCTGTATGGTCTGTTGGCATCGTGTTTGGGAATGTTTATTTCATTCTACTACTGCATAGCCAGGAGTGATGTACGAGCTCAATGGCACCTGATGGAATGCTGGTGCAGAAGGCGACGTGGTCGTTGTTGCCGTACCAGGAGTATCTCTGACACCAATCCAACGCTTCCAACTTCCCAACCACTTGCACCAATTACTAATGTTGGACCATGCACTGGTAATCAAGCCCAACCTGTATCAAGTTCTAACAGTATTAATTCCTCTGCCCACACTGCCAAGTCCCATAATAGCAGTGTTGCCAAAGCTGCAGTTGAGTTGAATGGAACAGCGAAATTTGATTTTGAGTCAGGTGGGAAGATATCCAATGTTAACTTGGTAGTTCTTCACAGACAACAATATCGTTCCAACAACAGTGTCACAACATTTACTGAAGCATCTGGAGCAAGTGGAGCAGAGATGTTCTACAACCCTCATCAGAGTACAGTAGCGCGCAAGTTCTTCAGGAAGCAACGTCGACACATGAAACACAACAATTTAGGAGCACGGAGAAGGGGTGATGGTGGAGGGGGTACAAGCGATGGTGGTTCCAACACTCGAGCTGAAAGTGCCGTATTTCTTTCTTCAGACATGGAGAATGCTAGTGGCAATGTAGCATCCAGTATTTATGCCCAAGGTTCGAAAGTTAATAACACAAACATTCACATTGAGCATCCACATCACTCTTCTCGACACAAGGATTCTAAGTCACAGAATCCTAATATTTTGACTGATAGTGGAGGGGATGAAGGTGGTGTCGATAGCCATGGATTGCCATTGGAGAGGTTGGTGATTGGTGCCGAAGAGTCTAGCACTTCAGCTCCAGTGAACAACGATGGGACAGCTAGGGTTCCTAGCTCTTGTTCTGGCTCATTGCCATCAGACAGAATTAATTCAGTTGATGAAATGCCAGATGTAACTTTGATGACAACAGAGTTCAGTGAAGTGGTAAATGAAATACAACAAGTTAAAGACAAAGGTGACCATAATATAAAGTGTTGTTCAGACAGTTCGTGTTGCAAACTTCCAATACATAGGACATCTAGTAGTGCACTGACAGCTTCATGCGCTGCAGAGAATCACAAGACTGAAGCCCAGCATGAAGCTGTCAGCAGAAATGACAGTCCAGATGTGTGTAAGGATTCAGTGGTTTGGAATGCCAACTGCAGTGAAACTAGTGCACATCTGAATACTGCAAGTATGGACTCCGAGCATAAATTTCTTGGCCATAATTGTTCTGCTTTGTCTGATAGTGATTTAAAAAGTAACCTGGTAAAACATGTATGTCATAATTATCTGCATGGGAAGAATCAGAAACATTCAAAACAAGACAGATGTTACAGTGATGTTGATAATGTTGAGACAGGCGAGGTATTTGTTGGAAAGCAGAAACCTGAGATTTTTCTGAAGAGAAAGAAATTGAGTTTACCATCTAGGCAGTTAACAGGGTATGATTGTGAAGAAGGTGTAGAAACTGTTGATGTGCCAACACTAAACAAAAAGGAGACCAGTGTCTAGAATGGGATATTTCACATGCCACATATGAACAAAAGACACTGTGACCTACTGCTTTAATCATATATTATACCAAGGTAAGCTACTACTTGTAGAACCTATAAAGAAAAAATGATACTCTGATAAAGCATCAAAGACATACATAATAACCCTTGAAAGCACAAAGTTTATCTAAGTACTATAAAATTAATTTTATACCTCAAAGAAAATGCATTTCCGTTATGAAGGTAAGTTGATGATGTTTAGGAAAATAATTGCTATTTGTTCTTAAAATTATATAAAACTCATAAATATGCTCTGTAAGCAAAATGCTCAGTTATTGAATGTTTAAGCAGGTGGTACCTTTGTGCTTTAAAGGGATATAAGGTACTTTAAGAAATGCTGTTTTTGGTTCTCTCGAAGATAGAACTTCCAAGAGTGTCAGTGCCTGCAGTATATTAAGTTTTTTTCCCCTAAGGAAATGTTTTTATTTTCTTTTATCGTGCCATATTGTCTTATGAAATATGCAAATTCAAATAAAACTGCAGTGCACGGAGCAGACTGAGCAACAGATTAAATAATAGTGTCAACAACAGCTAACTTGGAAGTAATTACACATCAGGTGCCAAAATCAGGTGCTTGCAAGATGGTGTCTAATTTGTCAGAGTTAAAAAGAAAAGTTGATCAGCCACAAAAAGAATTAGGACAGAACATGGGAAATTCAAATTAAATAGCACGTGTTTTGTGGGAATAAATTACTAAAATTGTAGGAAAATTAATGGGGCTGAAAAGTAAATTACGTAAATGACAGGAAGATGTGTATTCCAGGATTATAAATATGGGGTTTTACTCTGTTTTTTTAATGCAGTCACCAAGTTACCTGTTTTAGGTATTTCTGACCTTACGTTCACTGCCAGTTTATGTTCGTATGTTCCTTAAAATGCCATGAACTGCTCACCTCTGTGGTAATATATCTGATTTTGTAGGCGTATATATTATTTTCCATGATATTGCTTAGATCTGATTGGGCTAATATGCCTGTAAAGGATAGAGTAAAGTCACAAACTACGATGCATCACATCTGTCAAGGATGGAGGTCAGTTTCAGTGTTGGTACTGATATTTGAGGGATATTGCAGTTTAGGTCATAATACCGATATGATATTGGAAGGGGGTGCAATTTAGACAAATGTTTAATATTCCTCGCTAGTATGACAGTATGATGACAGTGTACTTCACAAGGATAGTGAATTTCCTTGCAAAAATAGTTTCTCTGTATGTGCTCCAGATGATAACATTTTATAGCTATTTTGAAAGTTGCCAGACATTGAAACATCTGATAAGTTGCTGTCTGCATGTAAGGAGATACTCAGAAGTTATTAGAATATATTTATAAAATAAGATTTATTTAAGTGATAAAATGTTGCATTGTCCTCTTCAAAGTACTTCGTTGGGAGTTAATACACCAAACCAAGGGCTTCAATCATTAGTGGAAGCTTGTCTTTTGCAGAACAATTAAGTACCTGCTGCAAATTTTTCTGAATCTCCAAGACATTAAATGTAATTTCTTTGAGCTTGTTTCTTTGAAAAGAGTATGTAGCAGAGATGAAGGTCTAAGGAGTAAAGGTGTGAAAGATTGCAGTCATCATGTTCTTGTTCAACAGATGACTGTGAGCAGGTGCGTTGTCATGATTAACCACCCAATCTCCATTTCTCAGGGTGGTTTTGGTGGACTTTTCTCTGTAGAAGCTATAGCATGTCTCTGTTTGTTGGTAGTTTGACCTGAGAGATTGAATTTATGATGCTTAACCCTGTCACATTTAAAAAAAACACTCCATATGTTCTTGCCATTCGATGAGACTTGTCTTGCCTTGTTTGGACATGGTATCTGCAGAAAGTTTCATTGTGATTACTGATTTTTTTTTTCTGATTTGTACCTATCTTCTTCAGAGGCTCTTTGTAATATGCCACATGTTTAAGAAGCAGTTTTACCAATCTTGAAGCAAAACTTTTATGCATATTCTTTGTCATCTTAAGTCAATTATTTAAGTATACTGAAAAATATGTAATACACACGTTCATTGAACAGCTTCAGATGTATGACAGTAAAACATGTGTGGCAAACTACTTGTCAAAGTATATTTGCTATCTCCATTTAGCTGGAGAAGTCTTCATCATTACAGAGCATTCTCATAAATTTTTGGTTTTGTCTCTTCAGTTGCTGACTACATATGAATACAATTTAATCTGGTGAATAGTGGTAAAGGTTGATAATTATGTCATCTCTTTATTATGACTTTATTTGCTGGTTTTGCATTTGGAAAGAAGAAGGGTCATGAAAATTTTATAGTAATATTGTATATCTATTAACCTCTTGTATTTCCATCTTGCATTCAGTCCAGTGAGTCTGATATTATATATAGTCTGTTAATATAAGGACTGTAACAAATATAATTTAATACTCTGTGAACATAATAATGTTACATTTTGCTGATTATTAACAGTATTACACAGTAATAAACTAACTTCATAATAGAACTCAAACATTCCATGTTGCTAATATCATTTGATTCCATTTCACATTTTCATTGTTTCCCCAAACTGTAATATATATTATCCTCTCATCATTTCCTTAATCAGTGGCTCCAAAACACTTATTTAATATAAACTCTTAACATTCAAAACACCATTTCTCATGTCCTTGAAATACCCTTGGGTTATGCCATATAATTCATCCATTTCCAGTGCTTTGCCAATATATGCATAACATACAACTTTGCGATATTGTGAAAGTACTTTTTGATTCAGTATTAAATAGTCATTTTTTCCTCTTCACTCCCCACTCTTACTTCACGTGTTAATTTCATGACTCCGCAGAACAAACTTCCTCTCCTACTCTGGGTTAACCTTCCCTGCTTCCTTCTCCACTATAAATGTGAGGTATGTAGTGTAGAACAATGAACTCAGTCTTATCCACTCAGTCGTTCACAGTGAAACATTTTCAGTAACATAGAGACTGAATTTAAAAATGTGGAAGATATGTTTTATTGTAGCCAAGGTTCTAATGATGTTTACTGCAGCTGACTGTGCCGGTTTTTCACTCCCTTCCAAAAGGTATGTTAAAATATAATAATTACAGACTATTAGCCTATCAAAGTAGTTAGTAGTACTAGTACCTATTTAAGTCTTCTTTTATCATCAAGTTAATGGAACTAATATTGCTTTTTATATCTATGTACTTCTACCAGAAAACTGTACCTCAAAGCTTTTGTTTGTTTTAGTGTTATTGTGGTGTAATTAATGTTTGGTTCTTAGTAGCATGTTTTATGTGAAGTAATTTAACGTTACGAAGCAGTGTCTTTCTTT